GCTTTTGTCCCTAAGGCAGGACTAGAACTCACCGTCTCCTGGTGATTGGCCCAAAGTCTTCCAGCCAGCTTTTGTCCCTAAGGCAGGACTAGAACTCACCGTCTCCTGGTGATTGGCCCAAAGTCTTCCAGCCAGCTTTTGTCCCTAAGGCAGGACTAGAACTCACCGTCTCCTGGTGATTGGCCCAAAGTCTTCCAGCCAGCTTTTGTCCCTAAGGCAGGACTAGAACTCACCATCGCCTGGTGATTGGCCCAAAGTCTTCCAGCCAGCTTTCGTCCCTAAGGCAGGACTAGAACTCACCGTCGCCTGGTGATTGGCCCAAAGTCACCCAGCCGGCTTCCATGCCCAAAGCAGGAGCAGAACTCAGAGTCTCCTATCTATCTCTATTTGTGTAACAAGGCAAAATGTTAATCTTCCATCTCTCTTCCCCAGTATATCTTTCCTTCAGTTCTTGGAGAGAAAAAGAGAATATATTGCAGAACAAATTTGTATTCAGATGTATTTTTTTCCCCCCATTCCTCCACGCCTTGCCTTGACAACTTTCTCTGGCCTGAACTCCTGCGATGGATGATTTGCTGCAGAAGTGGCCTTCGAAGAGTTGGCAGCCCCAAATGGGGATGGGTGGATGGTATCTGTTGGGGAGAATTGGCTGGTCCTGGGAGAAAAAGCCAGCAGAACTTCTGATGAACTGGCAACTCTGCTGCATGAGAGTCCTAAATTACGTTAATGTAATTAAACCTGGAGCTCTCGGTTCACCAGAGGCATCTGTTAAAAGCGCCGAAGCAATAAAAGTGAGAAATTGTGGCTTCTAGGAAACTCACCCCTGCCAGAAAGCCAATTGCAATTTTGGACAGCGTTTCGCAGCCTGGGCAACTTTTAAGACACGTGGTCTACAACTTCTAGAATTCTGGGAGTTGAAGTCCACGTGTCTTGACGTTGCCAAGGTTGAGTAACCCTGATTTAGGAGATTATCTGCAAGATGGTCTGGGACGTTACACATCCTCTTCACGACCTGTTTTCCCGGTTCCCTTCTGGGAGGAGGCTCCGGGGTATCCGAAGCAGAACATCCAGATTCAGTCCCAGTTTTGTTCCATATGGTATTAACCTTGTGAACTCTCAAGCTTCCTCCTTCTCAGTGGTGGGATTCAGCCGGTTCGCACCA